CGAGACGACTTTATTTTTGGTTTTTTTAATCATTCAAGCTATATAGAGTCCCCCTGAATTTATTTAATGAGTTCTACACTAAAGACGAATTATCACTTCAATGTTCTAGAATTAATTTTATATTTTTTTTACTATACTATTTGATTTATTCCTTATTTTGCTGAAATGTGCAACGTTACCACAGCATTACTAGACAAGTAAAAGTAGACAAGATAATTTATCCACTTTTCCGTTAAATCAACGGATAGAACTCGCATGAAATTTATCCACCTGCGGAAACAAAAGCCAGTCTATGAAAATTATTTTATATGAATATAAAGATTCGGAAAAGTTGGATGATATTCTAATTTATTTTAATCAAGCAACAGCAGCAATAAAACTCGTAACAATTTTCATCACAAAAAATCAAAATTACAATGATACGATTGTAATATGCTGAGAAAACAATCATCGTTGACGCGCTCTAATATATGATATAATAAATAATTTACAACTTATAGTTAAAACGATATCCTAAAGTATTCGATACTTATTGTAATAAGTAGGACTAATTACAGCCTAATAATGATGATAAATCTATGTCAACCTATTCTCTTGGATCGTTTATCAAATTTTTTCTCTTTTGTCATCATTAATTTCCAGAAAATCCTTTTTTTTATGGTCGCTTCAATCCGTAATAAAAGCATTGTACGGTATTCGTGAGAAAATTCTCTCGACGAAGGTGGACATGACCTGGATGAGTTTCCGCTTCAGATCAGGTTTCATTTCCTTCAAAAGCTCCTGACTGTGGCTGTTGATAAAAACATTGAGTGCATGTTCTGAAACGAAAGAAAATCCCAATCAATACAGTACTTAATTAACTTTTATGGCACCGGCAGGAAGGTATGAAATTTGGTTTTTTTCAAAAACTCACGAATAAAGGATTTGGTACCGCCTGGTAAATTTGTTACGCCCATCTCGATGTTGGGCACTTGGAAGTCCATTTTGAGTTGCTGAAGCCTCAGGAACTTTTGATTCCCAGAGAAGTAGGGCTTGGCTCTGATGAAAACCTTGGCCCTAACGTGGTCTGAAAAATCATACGATTCCCGTTACTATGGCCGTATTGAAGAATTGCATCTTCTCTTTAAATTCCCTCGTAGAACTATTTTTTTACAATTTTTTCCTTTTTTTTTTTTTTTTTTTAAATTTGAAGAGTCAAAAAAAGGGTTTCAATGTACTTGTAAAATGTTTGAAAAATGTGGAAAAAAAAATTTCCAAGGGAACTCGCTAGGGAAACGGAAGACACAGCTCTGCAATGCCATCAGTCGGCCAAAGCACGTCCACAGTGGTTAACGTACAGTATTTTCCCCAGTACTTCCCGGCTCCGCCGGCCTGGACGAAAATAAGCTTTCCACTCGAGTTGTATTTGGCGTCAGCGGATATCTCTGGTATGCTGAGCGACAGCTGCAGCTGCACCTCGTCGTCGGTCACTTGGCTGCGCAGACCAGTCACTCGGACTTTGGAGACGCCGCGAGCCGTGATGTCTTTGAACTCTGCCTTGTAACTGCTGGGCCCACCGTCCAGGTTTATGTGGAGCTCGTCCAGGATTATCGGCTCGACTTCGCTGGGGCTGTTGTAGCCGAGCTTTGGCAGACCTGCACATTTTTTTTTTCATTCGAGTATTTCTCTTTTTTTTATAGTTTTACAAGAATAGTTGTTGGTGATTTTTTTCATAATAGTTTTTTTAAAGCAATAGCTAGATTAAAAGATTTTTCGATCATCCACGTTGAGATTGATTTTCATGGATTTTTGATGAAAAATTCGATGAATATTTTAGTCGTTCCCAAATTTTTTTACGTATTTTGAATAATAAAAAATATTTTTCTGTCATAAATGAATTTATTCATTTTTTATTTATTTATTCATCTATTCATCATCTAATATTATAGAATAAATAAATAAATAAATGAATT